GGTTCCAGACGGGCTGGTCTGAGTATTTCAGAAACTGCTGATCTACTGGGATTTTCACACACAACCATTTCTAGGGTTTACAGAGAATGGTCCGACAAAGAGAAAATATTCTTGTTCAGCCTTGGTGATGCCAGAGGTTAGAGGAGAATGGCCAGACTGATACCAGCTGATAGAAAGGCAACAGTAACTCAAAAAACCACTTGCTACAACTGAGGTATGCAGAAGAGCATCTCTGAATGTAACAAGTGCAACCTTGAGGCGGATGAGCTACAGCAGCAGAAAACCACAGCGGGTGCCACTCTTGTCAGCTAAGAACAGAAAACTGAAGCTACAATTCACACAGGCTCATCAAAATTGGACAATAGAAGCTTGGGTAAACGTTGCCTGGTCTAATGAGTGTCAATTTCTGCTGGACATTTGGATGGTCGGGTTAGAATTTGGCATCAACAACATAAAAGCATGGGTCCATCCTGCCCTGTATCAACAGTTCACACTGGTGGTTGTGGTGTATTGTTGTGGGGGATATTTTCTTGACACACTTTGGGACCATTAGTACCAGCTGTCAACACCACAGTCTACCTGAGTATTGTTGCTGACCATGTCCATCCCTTTAAGACCACAGTGTACTCATCTTCTGATGGCTCCTTCCAGCAGGATAACGCGCCTTGTTACAAAGCGCAAATCATCTCAGAATGGTTTCTTGAACATGACAATGAGTTCACTGTACTCAAATGGCCTCTACAGTCACCAGGTCTTAATCCAATTGAGCACCTTTGGGATGTGGTGGAACGGGAGATTCGCATCATAAGTGGGAATCTGACAAATCTGCAGCAACTGTTTTGCCATCATGTCAGTGGACCAAAATCTCTGAGGAATATTTCCAGTACCTTGTTAAATCTATGCCACGATGGAGAAAGCAGTTATGAAGGCAAAAAAGGTCCAACCAAGTACTAGTAATGCGTACGTAATAAAGTGGCCAGTGAGTATATATTTAAAGCCTAGTCACAGATGTTGGTATCTTATAGTTTATAAAGTATCATTTTTCATGTTGTCGTTTTTTTAACTGAAGAATTTAAAAAAATATATATATTTTAACTTGTTAATATTAAGTAGGTTTTACAGTATCGTTTTGATTTACTCTGAGGATTGTAAACAAAATATGCATGATAATAAAACAGTTCATTAAAAATGTATTTTTGTAATAAAATATTTAGATATTATTAAATTATTATTGCATTAATTTGAGGTCCATAATTTATTGTAGGATTACCAAAAAGCAATAAGCATTAAAAATGATTACAGTTTCCTTTGTTTTACTTTATAATTATTATTATTATGTAATTTTATTTATTATGATTTTTATTATTATGTTATCTAGCATGTAGATTAATATCTGGGTTGAGAATACAAGTTATTATTATTATTATTATTAAATATAAAAATAATAGGTGTTTATTCCGCTGTGGCGACCCCTGATGAAAAAATAATAATAAATGACCTTATAAATTTACATTAAATGAATCTTTCAATTTATATATAGATATATAATATAAAATATGCTAAAATTATTTTTTATGTTGAACATTTTTCTTCTGTTTTCTTCATATTATTATGACTATTATACTTTGTTAATTCTACATTTAAGAAAACTAATTCACAAAAACACTAGAGCAGTGGTTATTATTTATAGGCTAGAGTTAGTAGCGCACACACTGATGCTCAGGTACCGCCTTTCATTGTCAATTGAAATGTTAGACAGTGAGGAACATTTGAAGCACAGACACGCAGCGATTGGGATGTTTTTACTTGCTGTTCATTTCATTTATACTTTTTCCAGCTTCGGGCTTTGTGAGTGTGATGGTAAGTGACTCATCTAATCTATTTTTTTTTTTTTTTTTTTTTTTTTTGTAATTCTTAATAAGACATTGGGTTGTGTTGTCCTCTTCAAAAATGCTTCTTTATTGGCCTTTATGGTTAAATTGAAGTGCATGGTTTTTCTGTGGCATCTCTGTGAAATCCATTGATTATTTGATCATTTCTTTAAAAATTAATTATTTAAAAAAGCATGTTCTGGTCAAATGTCTTCTGAACATCATATATTTCCCCCCCAATTTCTGCTTAACGAAGAGAAGATTATTTTCAACAATTTTCAAACATAATAGTTTTAATAACTCATTTCTAATAACTGATTTCTAATAAATATATTAATAATTTGACTAAATAATATTTTACTAGACATTTTTCAAGGTACTAGTCAGCTTAAAGTGCAATTTAAAAACTTAAAACTAATTAGGCAAGTCATTATTCTTTAGACAATCAAAAAAAAAAGTGCGTAAGAGGACTAATAATTTTGACCTTAGTTTTATTTCATTTTTTTAAACAAAAACTGCTTTTATTCTAGCCGAAATAAAACAAATAAGACTTTCTCCACTAGAAAAAAAATATTATGGGAAATACGATAAAAAGTTCTTTGCTCTGTTAAACATTATTTGAGAAACATTTGAGTAAAAATAATCACACGAGGGCGTTGTAATAATTTTGATTTCAACTGTACATATAATTCTACACCAAAAAAAAATAAAACATCTGTATTGTTTTCAACACAATCTTGGGACTAACATGGACAACCTCAACCATCGGGTTACTGTAAATTGAATTGCATTTTCAACCCAAAAAAATGAGGTTGTCTATGTTTGACTCAAAACTGATTTAAAACAACCCATTTCCCAGTTTTTTGGTGAAACAATCCATTATTACAGCAGACAGATGTGCTGCAATGCACATTTCCAATTTTCAAATTCATTTTCAGGACACTTTATACAATAGAGTCCCAACACCATCTGTGGTTGGTTTGGTAGAGCCGAAAATTAAATTTTATTTATTATTTTGTTCATAATTTCAATTGTTTTGTTATGTTTGTTTTGTTCAATTATTATGTTTTATTAACTATAAAATATATTTTGTTTTATAAATAGAGTATTTTGATTTAAAACCCAACAGTCAACTTTATTAAATGAAATGAGTGTAGTAACTCAAGATTTACTGAAAGTTAATTCTACTCATCTTAAAAGAGTTTTGAACTCAGTGTTGAAGGTAATGCATAAATTAAATACTTCATTACATTAACTTAAATGGAGTAAGTTCACAGTACTGATTTAGATTAGTTTTTGAACTTAGATGTTTTGTAGCAATCGGTTTCCTTAAACCGTTCAAGTTACCTTTACTTAATGGGTTTTACAGTGTAAATAGCAATAGCAGAGCCCATTTGGGTGCTAAATACATCCCTTTTCATAAGATTCCATATGAAAGCATGCTTTGAAAGGGCTAGGTACTTAGAAATATTTTAATAAATTTTTATATAAATAGTATTTATTATTTTAATATTAGTATTATTAACATTACCTTTATACATTTGTTATTCATTTATCATCTATTCACTTGTCTATTTGTTTTTTGCGTCTAACATATTGCATCTAACATCTTTGGTAAGGTTTAAAAAAACTAAAAACACATTGTACACAACAGCATTTAGGTACTTGATATATTATTGTTACTGATGTGAACTAGTAGCAAAAATGACAGAACTCTTAAGGAAATAAAAAGCAGAGATGATTAAACCGCATATTCTCACTGGCTCTTTATAGCGCCAATTGAAAGCAATATGTGTTGGAAAAACTTCTAGATCAAATTAAACTATTATTATTACAAAATGCCTTACATAAGCACATTTTGTGTAAAACTGTCTTATATTGATCTGGGTTGTATGTAAGGTGGTGACAGGAAGTTCAACGTGTGTGAAAGTTTGCAGTAGTTTTATGATCCCTAACAACAGCTAATAGACGTATTTGGTCAACATTTATTTAAAACAGGTTACTTAAAAGGATGTATTTTTGACTTAGAGAAACTTGTTCATGCTTTTATCAGCAGCAGGGTGGATTACTGTAATGGACTCCTCACTGGTCTTCCTAAAAAGACAGTCAGACAGTTGCAGCTCATCCAGAACGCTGCAGCCAGAATTCTAACCAGAACCAGAAAATCAGAGCACATCACACCTGTCCTCAGGTCTTTACACTGGCTGCCAGTTACATTCAGAATAGATTTTAAAGTATTATTACTGGTCTATAAATCACTAAATGGCCTAGGACCTAAATACATCACAGATATGCTCACTGAATACAAACCTAACAGATCACTCAGATCATTAGGATCATATAAACTAGAAGTTCCAAGAGTTCAGCCAAAGCAGGGTGAATCGGCTTTTAGCCACTATGCTCCTCGCTGCTGGAATCAGCTTCCAGAAATGATCAGATGTTCCAACATTAGGCACATTCAAATCAAGACTGAAAACACATCTGTTTAGTTGTGCCTTTACTGAATGAGCACTGTGCTGCGTCCGACAGATTGCACTATCATGTTTTTCTCTTCTTCTTCATTCTTTTATATCACATTTTACCTGTTTTTATGTTTTGTTTTGTTTTTACGCATTTTTATTATTTGTTTTTATTTTTATTTTACTTGTTTCTTTTATTCTTGTTTATGTAAAGCACTTTGAATTGCCATTGTGTATGAAATGTGCTATATAAATAAACTTGCCTTGCCTTGCCTTGCCTTAAAGTCGTCTCTCGCAAACAGGTTAAAGATTTAAGGTCTGCCTACATGTTCCCAGTGATGGGTTTAAAAGCATCATGAGTTCAAAAGCAAACGTTATCAGTGGCCACATCTGTATATGATAGGTTTTTTCTGCAATCTTTTGTTCAATCAACGTAATATAATAGGCATTTACATGGGTTATTCTGCTGTTATAAAATGTTATACTATATTTATGTCAAACAAAGTCATTTCATTTCTGGCATAGACGTTTAAAAATAAAATGATGAAATAGGATTTGTGTGTCCAAAATCTTTTAATCCACAGATGCAAAGAAAGTTATCAGAGCAGTGGAAGGAGCCACTGTCCATCTTCCCTGCCATTTACCTTCTGTAGAGAGTCTACAGGTTACAGTAGAGTGGAGCATCAATACAACCAGTGGCAATTTTATTTGTACATGGAGCATTGATATGTCCAACTCCCTTGTATCTCCCTTGAAAGATTGCTTTCCTCATTTTACAATAACCAGTAAGCCTGTTACATTAGAGATCAAAAATGTTCAGCCTGGTGACTCTGGTAAATACAGCTGTAAAACAACTACATTAATTCCACCTCCGTCAGTGGAAGAAAGCTCATCTCTGATTCTCCGAGTCGCAGGTGATTTTGCTGTTCATAAGTGATTCTGAATTGTCTGTATGTTGAATATCATCTTACCTTGATGAATCTAATGTCTAGGTCTGTCCCTGAAGCCACTGAACAGCACTAATGACAGCTGTGTTCATCTGCTCTGCTCTCTGGACTCTGATCTGGCCAACTTCACCTGGAGCCGAGGAGGTCAGATGTTACCACATGTGTCCACATTTAATGCTGATAATAGTGAACTGCAGCTGTGCAAACCTGACTGGAGTGGAGGAGACACAATCACCTGTCACGTCAACTACTCAGGAACCCAAACCCAAAAAAGCATCACATTCAGCAGATCAGAAAATGCTAACAGAGGTGAGTCAATAGAAAAACATATACACTGAATCAGTTCATCCAGGGTCACGAGTGCCATGAAAGGGGTTCAATTGACTTTAAAGGCTTTTCTTTAAATTATTTAATTATTAAAAAAAAGTATAAATCAAACATTCCATAAGAGTAATCCACAGTCCATCTTTCTCAGGAGACCAGGATTTCCCAGCTGTTTTTGTGGTGTTGTTGAGCGTCTTCATCATCTGCATCAGCATTTTTTGGATATTGTTCTACATTTTACGATGTAAGTTATCCACAGATGTAAAAAAAATACATGAATGATTTAAAATATTATATTATTCATTCATTCATTCACTCATTTTCTTTTCGGCTTAGTGCCTTTATTAATCCAGGGTCGCCACAGCGGAATGAACTGCCAACTTATTCAGCACGCTTTTATGCAGCGGATGCCCTTTCAGCCGCAACCCATCTCTGGGAACTCATTCACACTCATACACTACGAACAATTTAGCCTACCCAATTCACCTGTACCGCACCCGGAGGAAACCCACGCAAACACAGGGAGAACATGCAAACTCCACACAGAAACGCCAACTGACCCAGCCGAGATTTGAACCAGTGACCTTTTTGCTGTGAGGCAACAGCACTACCTTCTGCGTCACTGCGTCGCCATATTATATTATATTATATTATATTATATTATATTATATTATATTATATTATATTATATTATATTATATAAATTTTATTATATCATATTATATTATATTTTACTATATTATATTATATTATATTATATTATATTATATTATATTATATTATATTATACTATATTAATTATATTATATTATATGGTTTGCCTGAGACTGGTGGAGCTGTGCATCAGTGGAGCTGCTCTTCAGTGGATCGTCCTTCAGTAGTTACATTTGCATTACACCCACATAGTATAATATCTCTGGCCCACACAATCAGCTTTTGCTTGAATGAATGGACCAAGTCTGGCTTCCAGACAAGGGCCAAACATGGACCATATCTGGGCCAAGTCTCAACTAAATTAATAACTGAGCCTGAACTGGGCCAGAGATTTTGGTGTCACCACTGCAATGAAATTGAAAAAAAAAAAAACATGATTCATTGTGCTTACGGCATGCTTGGGCGTGCTTTTTTCATGATTGCTAAAAATATTTTTTTTATTTGAAAATAATAAAAACTAATATTTTAAATGTGGGTCAAGATAGGCCAAACTTACATGGCCCACATTTCAATTATTAACATCTGGCCCAAATACTACATTTTACATCTGGCTCAAGTGTTGTGTGCCGCCTTAAAGACGGTGCCACATCTGCCAAACCAGGGCCATGTTTGTCCCACATGCTGTATGCCAGTGCCGGATGAATGCCAGTTGTGCTAGATTTATGCCAAATCTGGGCCAGAATTATTTCCTACCTGGGCAATGATCTGAACATTTATACTAAACTGAACTCTATATGTTTTAAATTAACTAGAGCCACACCAGCATTCTACCACTGCTCTCCTGCCTGCCTGATTTGCTGGACAATTACAAAAATATTAAATATTGTTATGGATTTTTATTCTCTTTTCTCCATTAACACAACCTACACTGTAAAAAGTTATATATATATATGAAATAAAGATTGAATTTGATTAATTAATTGAAATAATTAAAATAAATATAATAATTTTACAGACAAAACTCTGACCTGCTGTTGTGGACATTCAATGCAATAAGATCCCTCGAGTCGTGATCGTTAATCAAGTCTCTTAGTTTACCTTAAATTGATTAAATCTTCATTTATTTTAACTTTTCTTATGATCCGTTTAGACCAAAGGTGTCAAACTCAGTTCCAAAAGGGCCGCAGCTCTGCACAGTTTAGTTCCAACCCTAATTAAACACACCTGATCAAACTAATTGAGTCCTTCAGGCTTGTTTGAAACCTACAGGTAAGTGTTTTGGAGCAGGGTTGGAACTAAACTGTGCAGGGCTTCGGCCCTTTTGGAACTGAGTTTGACACCCCTGCTTTAGACTATGCTTTCTTAAAAATAGCTGTTTTGTGTTTTACAAAAATTTGAATTAATTTTAATTGACTTAAAATCAAGCAGTAATTTAAAAAAAATCTTTACATAATGTTTGGAGGATTACATTAAAGATTTTTTGTCACTGATAAAGACCCTTTAAGAAATTTTATTTATAACAATAAAACAAAATGTAAGCTGCAGGTGTTGTGTAACTTGCTCTAAATATGTTTTTTTCCTAGTTATAGTTCCTTCTGTCATGAACTTCCAAGTAAGGTTCCATATGTTGACTTTATTTAGCTTTCAATAATCTTAGCTGATTCTAATTTCTTAGTTAATGCTGAACTAAAAATGTTTAGCTTGTTTTTTTAGCTAGCATTAACATACCTTCTGTGACAAATGTTGCTGTTTCTTAATGTATACCGTATTATCTAATGAGTGTCTTTGCTGAGTATCTTGCTGTAAAGTCTGCTTTTTCTAATCATTATGCAGTTTTGTTTTTGATGAAACATTTATTAACTTCAAATGTTTATTTACAATAAAAGCATAACTTGTGTGTGTATGTGTGTGCTTGTGACAGTTTTCCAAGCATTTTTAATCAAAATCTGAAAAATGTGCTTCAGTTTGACTGCTAGTCCTTAATAATCATTATTTTTCTGATGATTAAGGTGTGTATGTGCCAAAATAAAAGTCTGGCCGTATCTGTTGGAAATGTTATAATACTGAAGTGATGTTGATAGAAAAACTTTAACCTGTTCACAAACCTGTTTATTGTTATTAGAATTAGCATATATCACAGCTAAACGCAATTATGATTACAATTATGAGCTTCAGTGTTTTTTCTATAGCAGAGGTTCTCAAACTCTGTCCTGGAGAGCCAGTGTCCTGCAAAGTTTAGTTCCAACTTCCAACCCCAATCAGACACACCTAGGCTACCTAATCAAGCTCTTAAGCAGTGGTCACACTGGACTTTTCTTCCCATACAATTCTGTTTATACACACGGGAATGCATCAGACTGGAAATGCAAGCTCTTGCGACAACTTTCACAGTTTGCTGCGCTGCAAAGTTCAAGTGTTTTTTAACACCTACCCCAACCATCACAGTACTGTCAAAATATTAATTATTGTTATACAGTGTCATAAAAAATGCTGATACTGTATATTGATGTGCATAACACATATCCAGCTGGCAACATATCCCATCTAGACTTTACTAACTCTGACCTACGAAATTGCATCATGTAACTGCGTAAGACCAATTGAAGATCAAAACATGACCTCTCTGTCCAGAAATGTAAAATATGGACCAATCGCATACTTTTGTAAATGTCTAATTATCTTGTTTAATCACGGCCCTTTTCGAAGCACTGTACTAGAAAATTTTGCATGCTCAATCTTGTGACCACAGCAATAGGCTTTCTAAAAACATCCTTGCAGGTATGTTGAGGCAAGTTAGAGCTAAAATCTGCTGGACACCAGCCCTCCAGGAACATGTTTGAGTATCAATGCTTTATAGGTATACCTTTAGGGTTGGGCAATATTTTACAGAAAATATTTCTGAAGATTTCTGATTTTAAAGCATTTTTTCCTCCAGATTTTTAGATAAAGACAGATTATTGGAAGATTTAATGTCTTCATCTTCCCAATATACAATAACACATTTCTCATGTAAGGTCCACCCATTTGGCCCAATGAAGGTGTCTACTGGTGGATGAAGGTTCACTGCGTGTTCGCCTTTTCCAGTATGTTTTCCTGTCATTTTAGTTGAAATTTGACTCAAATTTTAATATGAGGTGGTTTAGAATATTAATATATTTATCTTTCGTTTTGTCTGACTCTAATCTAAAACATTTAGAAGATTATATCAATATATAATTTAGATTAATGTTTAAACCTTTTGTCTTCACTCATAACTATTACATTTGTTCATTCGAGTGATCATGTTGCTCAGAGGAATCGCCTCGGCCGATGGTGATTGACACTCTTGTCAGTCTTGATTATTAAACAGAGGTAATTGACTATTACTTTTAGATGGCCGCTTTTATGCTTGCTTATTCTAAAGTATTTTTGATTAGTCCCCTTCAAGATCTCTCCAACCTGATGAACTGCATCTTCATTTATGAGCATAGGAAGGGAGGAGGTTCTTGGCTGGGACCAGGTTTCGTGGAGACAGAGATGGGTGAGTGAAAGGGTTTGAGCAGTGAAACATGGAATGTGGGGTAAATTTTATACTCAGGGGGAGGTGACCTCCACCACAAAACAAAGTTTTGGGTTGGAGTGTATTAGGAGAGGAGCCTGTCTGAATGCTTTCCTCAGGATTTGGAGGGCTTTCTCAGCATCCTTATTCTAGGCCAGGGATTAGAGCTTTCCCCTGAGGAGACAAGTAAGATGACTAGTTATGAAATGTAATCAGCTATAAATCTGCTATAAAATTTGCAAACCCTAGGAACCTCTGGAGCTCTTTGACGGTTGAGGGCTGAGGCCAAGACATGATGCTTCCACCTTATCCATATTCACACTGTGTTCATTGATGATGAATCCTAGAATTTAAACTGATGTTTGATGAAAGAAAAATCTCAGCATTAAGGGACATGTGGTGCACATGGAGTCGGGCTAGGACCTCCACAATGTGGTGGCCTAAAAATATATTTTGTTAATATTACTATTATTAACAATAGTATTATACATTATTTATTAAATTATTTGTTAATTTAATTTTATATATATTTATTTATTTGTTTGTTTCAATGTCAGGATCTTATATCTTGCAGGCTTTGTTAAGTTTTTAAAAAAGAATATGGTAATATTTATTATGATGTGAACTAGTCATGACTAGTGCACTTAAAAAGAAACGCAGTAAGCAGCGCTCATTAAAATGCATATTCTTATTGGCTCTTCAAAGGGGCCTAAAGAAAGAAATCTGGGAAGAACTTCATTTAACACTAAATTTAAAACTTCATTTTAAACGTGATATAATAGTATGGGGCAACCATTACTGCATCCAAAATGGTGAAAAGCCTTGGAGTAACGATTGATGACCAACTAAACTTCTCTGACGACATTTCTAGAACTGCTCGATCGTGCAGATTCGCACTCTATAACATCAGTAAGATCCGACCCTTCTTATCTGAACATGCAGCTCAACTCCTTGTTCAAGCTCTTGTTCTCTCCAAACTGGATTACTGCAACTCTCTACTAGCTGGGCTTCCAGCTAACTCTATCAAGCCTCTTCAACTGCTCCAGAATGCAGCAGCACGAGTGGTCTTCAATGAACCTAAACGAGCACATGTCACTCCGCTGCTAGTCCGTTTGCACTGGCTGCCAGTTGCTGCTCGCATCAAATTTAAAGCTCTGATGTTTGCCTACAAAGTGACTTCTGGCCTTGCTCCTTCTTATCTGCTCTCACTTCTGCAGATCTATGTGCCCTCCAGAAACTTGCGTTCTGTGAATGAACGTCACCTCGTGGTTCCATCCCAAAGAGGGAAGAAATCACTTTCGCGAACGCTCACGCTCAATCTGCCCAGTTGGTGGAATGAACTCCCTAACTGCATCAGAACAGCAGAGTCACTCGCTACTTTCAAGAAACGACTAAAGACTCAACTATTTAGTCTCCACTTCACTTCCTAATCTGCAATTGCCTCTCTGAATATCACACTAACTGTACCAAAAATAAATAAATAAATAAAATAAAATACTAATACTACTAATACTTACCTTCTTAGACTTTACAGACCTGAAACTTGCCTATAGCACTTATTCATTGTTGCTCTTAGTTGTGTAAATTGCTTCCTTGTCCTCATTTGTAAGTCGCTTTGGATAAAAGCATCTGCTAAATGACTAAATGTAAATGTAAATGTAGTATTCATACATTATAAATGTCATACAATATACATGTTTTGATAGAAATAGATCAAACACAAAGATTCATTTTAACAAAATATTGTTTGGGCAGCAGAAGGATTTTTATATCTCTCATATATATAAATATATCTCTGGCTGAAGTGTGAAAGGTATGATAGCTAATAGAACTGTTTGGTCGACATGCTTTTAAAACTGGTTAGAAAAAAGCTGATAATTTTAACTTCAATTTGGTTCTCTCATGTAGGTAAGGGATTTACGCTCTGATTTCATGTCCTTTAATTTGAATATAAAAAGATCTATTTTTCAGCGACGAGCTTAAAAGTGTCTGTGTGTATGTTGTACATTCTAAAATCTGTTGTGCCATAATATATATATATATATTTATATATTTATATATATGTGTGTGTGTGTGTGTGTGTGTGTGTGTGTGTGTGTGTGTGTGTGTGTGTGTGTGTGTGTGTGTGTGTGTGTGTGTGTGTGTGTGTGTGTGTGTGTGTGTGTGTGTGAGTGTAAAGCTGCAAAGAGCTTTCTGTTGTTTATTACACTGAAATGTATCAATCCACAGATGCAAAGAAAGTTATCAAAGCAGTGGAAGGAGCCACTGTCCATCTGCCCTGCCATTTACCTGAAGAGAGTCAACAAGTTACAGTAGAGTGGAGCATCAATACAACCAGTGACAGTTCTAGTTTTACATGGAGCATTAATGACAACTCTGTATCTCCCTTGAAAGATTGCTTTCATCGTTTTAAACTGACCATTGAGCCTATTAGATTAGAGATAGAAAATGTTCAGCCTGGTGACTCTGGTAAATACAGCTGTAAAACAACTAGAGTAATTCAACCAACACTGGACAATAGCTCATCTCTGATTCTCCAAGTTGCAGGTAATTTTGCTGTTCAGAAATGATTCTGAAATGCAGTGAGTGCCATGAAAGTGGTTTAATTGACTTTATATGTACTACAAATACAAATGATACCTGTGGTCCGTCTTGCTCAGGATACCAGGATTTTCCAGCTGTTTTTGTGTCTTTGTTGAGCATCTTCATCCTCTGCATCAGTTTCATCTGGATCTTGCACTACATTTTATGATGTAAGTTCTCCACAGATATCTACTTTACCAAATAAATACATTATATTATATTATATTATATTATATTATATTATATTATATTATAATAAATTATTAAAGTTCCTTTATGTTCTGTACTCCAGCATCATTTCACATTCTTTCAACATTCTACAAAAGCGAGGTCTTTTTATGTTATGTATGTATTTTATGTATTTTATTTGTGTCATTCTGCAGACCTGCCGTCCTGAATCATCAACATCAGAAGAAGGAAGACAAAACACTCAACCCAATAAGATCCCTCTTCGTCCTTTAGCAAGTTACTTTTAACTAGTTATACTTTAAGTTTTACTATGAGCCTTTAGACTACCCTTTTATTCAACCCAGGCTTAGTCTGATTCCATACCCTTTCTAGAGAGCGCCAAACACATTCCAGGAGCTAATTTTTTTTTTCAGTTTTTGTTTTCCCAAATCTATCAGAGGCCACTGTGTTTTGAGATCTCAAGTTTCTCTCACGAGTGCCATTTGCACCTGCTGTTGCAAGAAGAGAAACTTTGAACAGAATGTGAATTGGAGGTGCTCCTTTCGGAGGTAGACCTGAGAAAAACGATGTTATTTGCACATTTGATCATGAACTCAGTTTGAATCCAGAATTTTCAGAATTAACCTATGCTGCTTTCTTTAAAATTGGCTATTTTGTGTTGAGTCATTTCCAAAGATTTACATTGATTTTCATTGACTTTTCTGTTAAAATCAGCTCAGTGATCATGAATAACTTCTGTTATATGTAATGAGTATAATTATATTATAAAGATTTGTTGTTTCACAGATTAGAAACTTAAGAATAAAATGAAAGCTGAAGTTGTTGTTAAACTTGGTGCTCTAAATATAGTGTCCATCAGGGTTCTTTACAAGCTTGCTAAAATAAAAGTTCTGTCATCATGTACACACTTCACAGTAAGTTTCCATTTGTTAGTCAGCTTTTAATAACTGTGATGTTCATTTCTTAGTTGATGCTTAATAACAAAAAAGTTCAGTTGTATTTTTTTAAACTAACATTACCATAATTTCTCTGCAAATGTGGCTATTTCTCACTGTTTATGTTTACTAATGTAGTATTTACTGTAAAGTTAATATTGTAACTTTAAAATCCTTTTGTAATTTTGTTTAACATGTCTTTTTGAACATTTACTATATGTACAATGAAAGCTTTTCTTGTTGTTAATGTTAAAATACTTGTTTAAGTAAATCTGTTTTGAAGGTTAACAAAATAAAATAATTGCTGTAAGATCATTTGATTGTTACAGTTATTCTAATTGGGTTATTAAAAATATTTAGTTAGGTAATTGTACATCAAAATCTGACTAATGTGCTTAATTTTGACAGTTTGTCCATAAAGCAATGGTTCACCCAATAACGAAAATGCACTCACTGTTTACGCTCGCTCAAGTGCTTTCAAACCTTTATGAGTTTCTTTCTTCTGTTGAACAAAAAGGAAGATATTTTGATAAAAGCTTTAAAAAAATGATAAATAAATACTATGAAAGTCAATGGCTTTCATAGTATTTGTGAAACTTTTTTTTTTTTAATGTCTTCTTATGTGTTTAATAGGCGAAGGAACTCAAGTAAGAGTGAGTAAATGATAACAGAATATCATTTTAGCTTGAACTGTCCCTTTAACACCTGTGATCGTAGTACTGCTAATGGTGACAATAAAATATTATTTTCTTTTAGTTGGAATTATGTCACAATATTAAAGTGATGTTGGTATGAAAACCTATTCACTTATTTGTTGACTGTGAATTGGCATATACTATATTTTCATGCAGTTATGAGTACTAAGATAATGAGCTAAAGTCAGTTTGATTAAAAGCTATTTAGCTACATGACGCAGCAGGCACACAATGAAGACATTGATATCAGATTAGATTTAGGTCTTGACGTCAGGTGACCAAAATTCAATTTCTAGCCAGTGTCTAAGGACAACCTTGTTTTGACATCCAATAATGGCGTCAAATGACGTTGATTTTAGGTTGTTGGAAAAGGACCAACGTCAAGCCAACATTTTAAAGCAACGTCATAATAACATCAAATACTGACATTTATTCATCAGGTATGGCAACCAAAATCCAAATTCTGAAAGATTCCATTGTGGTAACATCAACACAAGCTGTAACATCATTAGACGTCGATATTTGGTTGATTTTTGGTTGGTCATTGAACATTGACATTGGCCTCGATCTTTATTTCCAAACAAAATGCAACGTCCCCACGACATTGGAGTTCAACATTAATCTGACATCATGTTGACATCCTATGTCTGCTGGGTAATTAACATGTCACCGTATATACCATATTATGATCCCTTATGTAGGTTACCCATGGTTTTTACATAGTAAAATTGTAGTATCCATAGTTATCTGCATTAAATTCCATTTGTATAACCATGTTAATACGACAAATAGTTAAACTTGATAGTGTGGCAAAACCATGGTCAGTAATAATACTAAAATGTATTATATATCCATTTATTCCTATTTATATATCCACTTTTCAAGCCTTACAGCATAAACAGATAAATCTGCATCAGATTTACAAAACACTGAGGTAAGGTATAGTCATTTATTTTTAATTTTGGTGTCCATATTATGGAATATCTATTCATCAGTACATGATACGGAAATTATGAACCACTAATTGGCCCAAGATGAGAGAGTTGCAGAATATGGCTTCATGCATAAGTTGATAATATCTTGCTTGGGTAAATGATCTAAATATAATTGTGTCTAGCTGCATTTCATTTCTACTAAGCATGCTTTTCTTCTAATAAGCCTCGTTCATTTGCACACAACTAAAACTACACCACCTTCACATAATCACGGCCCACAATCTCAAAAGATCATGCTATAACTGTCACTGAAGCCCCCTCAAAACATTAAGTGCATGACTCTTCTGTCTGAACCAGTGGGAGGTTATTTAGAGTAGATTGTGAAATACTGTAGTCTCCCAGCGTGTTGTATATGATTTTTACATGGAAAGCAGAACCTTTGAAAAAAGGAAAGAAAAAAAAACAGCCAACAGACACCAAGTTTTAGCCTTTCCATATATGAAAGCAACACGCTTTTGCTATCAGCCCTTTTTAATTTTCATTTCCTCTATGCCATCGAATGAACAACAACAAATGCAACCAGTGAACGGTGTCTTCACGGAACAATATGCTTTACTCACAGAAATGTCTGTAAACACAGTACTCTGTCAATGGTGCAAAACATTGATGGTGATTTGCAATTTAAGTGTGTACAAATTAAACAGTTTGACCAACGAAAGAAGTGTTCTTCAGTTTATCTTCTCTGGTGATCTAGATGGTGGGAGGGCACATGGACAGGAAATTCATCACTCAGAATGTGAGCGTACGTGTGCAGAAGAGTCACAGACGCTGAGCACATCAACATGGTTTTGAAACGGATTACAGACTATCTTTTTTTTTGGACTTTAATTCATCTACCAAATACAGGTAATATACTTTATTTTTTTTGTGTTTACTGTGCTCTTTTAGTTAAAGCAAAGAAGCTGCAGGTGATGTCATGATGTACATTACAAATAACAACTAATAATAAACTAAGGTCTCGGTGACAGGCTTATTCATTTTATGTCTGGTTGGTTTTCTGTGATGTATTTTACAAAAAAGTGTGATGTATGTTTTGAATTGTCTGAAGGGAGCATTCTGGTGTTTGTAACATTGAAATTTGTCAATTCACAGATGCGGAGAAAGTTATCAAAGCAGTGGAAGGAGCCACTGTCCATCTGCCCTGCCATTTACCTCCTGTAGAGAGTCAACAAGTTACAGTAGAGTGGAGCATTAATACAACCAGTGGCAATTTTATTTGTTCATGGAGCATTGATATGTCCAACTCCCTTGTATCACCCTTAAAATACTGCTTTCCTCATTTTACATTAACCAGTAAGCCTGTTACATTAGAGATCAAAAATGTTCAGCCTGGTGACTCTGGTAAATACAGCTGTAAAACAACAAGAGTAATTCCACCTCCGTCAGTGGACGAAAGCTCATCTCTGAATCTCCAAGTCGCAGGTGATTTTGCTGTTCATAAGTGATTCTGAACTGTCCGTTTGTTGACCATTATCTTACCTTGATGAATCTAATGTCCAGGTCTGTCCCTGAAGCCACTGAACAGCACTAATGACAGCTGTGTTCATCTGCTCTGCTCTCTGGACTCTGATCTGGCCAACTTCACCTGGAGCCGAGGAGATCAGATCTTACCACATGTTTCCACATTTAATGCTGATAATAGTGAACTGCAGCTGTGCAAACCTGACTGGAGTGAAGGAGACACAATCACCTGTCACGTCAACTACTCAGGAACCCAAACCCAAAAAAGCATCAAATTCAACAGTTCAAAAGGTGAGTCAATTGAAGTTCATACACTGAATCACATTAGCCAGGATAAATGCAAATGCTTTATTTCTAAAATGCACTGCTTGACTAACATGCACTTAAAATATTCTGGGTTGTTTTACACCAAATTTGGACAAATCTGACTGTTGGATTAAAATATTTAGTAGGGATAAAGTACATATAGGCAGGGGTTCTCACAGAATAAAGCCCAACATGCTTATCAGCAGTCGTGTGAGACTGAATAATTACGAATTGAATAAGAATAACGTTTATTATTATTAATAACGATTACGGCTCATATGATGATTTAAAGTGGTTCAGTTAAGTCAAAATTTAAGTTAAATGTGTTTACTGAGAGTTTACTTACAGCTGCGCACATTTTCATGTCAAGTTTGTTTTTTCATAGATCACAACCTTTGCATTGGAAGTGGCGTATGCACGTTTACAACCTCCTTATGTACGTATACCACTTTTATAATAAAGAACTCTTATAGCTTTCAGAATTTATAGCTAACTTTTTGATTAAACATAAAGCTTGCAAAAAGAAACATTTCTAACGTCTAAACGTCTCAGCAGCATAAATACAAATCATTGAAATATGCATATAAATTACTCAGTTTTGGTCAAGATCATTTTAAGTACCCGGATGAGCCTGTATTATGAGTTTCACAATGTTATCTGGGAAAAACATACCTTTGAATGTTTTGATTGACCAATCAGAATCAACTTTTACAGAGAGCGTGTAATAATCTGAAATAATTTAGAAATTATCATCATCTTGAATTGTACATACCTACTGTACAACCTGTAAATATATTCATCCATTGTAAATCTATTTTCATAGTTAATACAACCTGTATATAATGTTCATAGAGCATCCATCTGTAAATATTACCCATAGTTTTTCTATAACTGCACTTTATAACTTATACCTATATTCTACACTTGCTGCTATTGCACTCTTGGTTAGACCTAAACTGCATTTTGTTGCCTTGTACATGAATAATGACAATAAAGTTCAATCTATTCTAAAAAACAAAACAAAAAAAAACCTCAAAGTTGGATTTTGTCCATATTTGAGTAACATTTTGTTTGAACAGCAATTTAACACCATGGTTTTTAGATGTTAAGGCTAATCTGCGAATAGACTAATCTGCTAAAAGACTATTAAATCTCACTTACAAGTAACATTGTTTTATTTTTTATTTTTTATGTGTAAGCCTATTTACCTTCAAATACATTATAGATCATTTTGAGGGATGTAAACAATGCCAATGTTCCTATAACGTAGTTCCTGTTTTACATTTTTCATTTCCATAGCTTCCAAGATATTGATCAATAATGTTATGATAACTGTTTTAATGTTATGATTGAATTGCCTCTTGTTAAAGTTCTGAAACAGTTTGACAATAAGCAGGAAATGTTCATGGGCCAATGACATGACCACATTGATATGGTCTATTGATTTATTCATGTGTAGATTTTAATGTTACGCAGTTCTATCAAGGAAATGTATGGAAATATACATTAATAATACATAACCAGGGCTCGACGTTAACATTTTTGCTTACAGCCACTGTAGCTAGTAGTCTAAAGCCACAATATTTTTGTGTGCATTTAAAATGCTTAAATTTCACTTTTGCTTAACTTTAAGTCATTTTAATTGATTTAGGTAATTTACAACCCATCTGACCACCAAAATTATAACATGCGTAATGTACCAACTGGTATACAATAGTCAGCATTTCAAGTGGATCAAAACCTTTCATCAAAGTTGGCATAAACCCAAAACACTGTTCTTGTCCTATAGGACAACTCTGATGCCCTTCAAATGCTGACTAATACATACACTACAGGTCATACAATTTAAATCGAATAACTTCTAATGAATACAATAATAGTGGAATCTGGGAAGATGCTTTAAAAATAAATATATTTAACTGTTAACTATCCATTTAATTATTTTAAAATGTTTTTTAACAGCAGTAGTAAACACTGTAGTGCTGTAGACTAATCTCTGCACTAAAGTACATACACTGTAAAAATAAATCCTGGTTGTCTTAAATTTTTAAGCTGAATCAAATTAACCTTATGAGTCCATTGCACCTATATTATGTTAAACTGACTCAAAACAGCTTGTGTAACTATTAAAATTAGCTTAGACACTGATTGACTTTTAAGTTAATGAGGTTAATTACCGATGAACAACTGTTCAATAAGTAACAATGGCCTAAAAACAAATGCTGTTATAACTAATTGATCATATACTTTTTTCAGTGTAGAAACCCAGGAAGCGTTTTTGTTTTTAAAAGATGTCTAATAGATGTCTATAAATAGTCGTCTTGGCTAAATTTGGGATGTCAGTAAAGATCTGACATCTAGGAATAGGCCAAAACTAGACTAGTCATCAAATAAACAGAAATGAATGACTACACATATAAAGTCTGTCCAATCTGTCTATTTGACGACTAGTCTAGTTTTGGGCTATTCTTAGATGTCGTACAGATGTCTATTAGACATCTATTAAACACCAAATTGTTTGCTGGGAAACCTTTTTTAATCTGTAGGACCTGAATTAAAATTCCAAAAATAATATTCAACCTGCCTAATTGGCTAGTTAACAGAAAAGAAAGCAAATGCATAAATTTGACCTGAAATAGAATAAGTAGCACTAGTGATGGACTGTAGCTGTTTTCTTTTTATGTCAGGCATTCATCTAGTTCATTCTTCTGATGTATATGATATGACCTTTTCCTGTTTGTGACCATGACAGCTTCAATCTCTCTTGATCTGGTGATCTATGCAGGCTGTGGTGCCATGGGTCTCATCCTCTGCATCATTCTCCCTGTTGTTGTTTGCAAATGTGAGTCGATTTTTAACACTTCACAATTAACATTTAACACTTTATTTTAATGGACCATTTAAGTCATAGTAGACTGTCTATCTGTATATGTGTTGATATTGCCGCTTTAACAGACATTTAACTGACTATAAGAAACTTAGGCAAGTTCATTTCATCTACTAACCCCAATCCTAACAGTCTACTTATAATTTAATGAGAATTAGTTGGCATGTAGATGCAATGTAACCTTAATTCAACAAACTAACCATCAAAATAAAATGTGACCCACTTCACCTATTAATCCAGCTCTAATGACATCAAGATGTAAAACCACAGAATCCTCCTACAGGGGAAAAATATTGTAATAATAACTGTGACTTCCACAAAAATAGGATATTGCATGAAGTCTTACTTTATTCATATGTTGCACAATAATGCAAGTTAAGACATGGTTCAGCGGTTAAAAGAAAGAGGGCCAGAATTAAATGGAAATAATGACTGCCTCACCTCCACCCCCTCCCCCTGTTCAAACACCTTTCTCAAACACATCAACACCTTCCTTACGTCTATTTCTGTTGTCAGTCACCATGACGTGACAAATTAAGGAAGGCTTTTTAAAAATATGTTTCTGAATAATGTCTAAAATTAATAAAAGGGAATAAGCATGTCCTTTTGTAGCATAACAAAAATAGCTATCTGCTTAGCTGCTCTCCCGATCTAAAAAACAAATCATCATCTAAATCTGAATGAGGATGGTAAACCAGATCAAACCAGCTTACTTAAAAAAACAATTTTTAAGGAAGTGGCTAAGGCCAAGACACCACATTTTAAACAAAGCAAACAACCATATATGTTTTGTGTTGCTAAATGATCAGAATAAGCATACTTGAGGTTGTCGTGTTTATCATAGATCATCATAAAACAACGTAGGCTACATCATCGTACATATTCTATATATATTTATATTGGTGAGTTTAGGGCAAATTGACATTGTTTTCGAATGATCCATGTTAAACACAGCAACCTCAAACATCCTTAATTATACTGTTTAGCTTCTTAACAGCCTACAACAAGTATGGTTGTTTGCTTTGTTTAAAATGTGGTGTGGTTGTAAACTTGTAATTGCATTAATGTGAACCACCAGGTGGCGACAAATGCAAACGAATTTCCAGCAAGTGGAACAA